CTTCCTTTCACACAGGGACTGAGGAGCTTTGCCCCTTGCAGGAAGAGGCCATGTTCCCAGGGAGCTCTGCAGCCTCAGACCCAGGCTGATGGAGGCCTCCCGCCCAGCACTGCCATCCAGGCCTCAGACCCTGAGGAGGAGAGAGCTGAGTGGGATGAAGGGAGGCCAGAGGTCCCTCCCTACCCTCCCCAGTCAGGTGCTCAGTCCTCCGGGGTGGAGGTCAGGATGCCTGGTCTTGGGCCCGGGGTGCCTGGTGGTGGTTTGGGCGCTAAGCCAGACTTGGGTTTGAAACGCGCTTACACATCTTAGCAGCACTGATGACCATGGGTCAGTCAGCGGCTGGGACTTTGAATCGCAATGTCCTCGTTGGTAGGGAGGGGATGAAGGATGTCCCCGAGTTTGCAGGTTTGTTGGATTTAATGACACTGCATTTGCCATGACCTGTACATAGAAGGTCTTCAGTAAACACAAGCCTCCTCAGTTTCCCCAGATACGGGGCCCTTTGTCCCCTGCCTGCTTGTCTCTTGATGACAGCGGGGTCCTCCTAACAGCTCCCGATGGCTCGGGCAGCCACCTGGTGGGGACTCCTGCCCAGGAAGTGTGCAGCGAGGCCGCCTCCGCCGCTTCCTCCCTCCTCAGCTTCCCCAAGGAGTCAGGGCTGTTTGAAAACAAACAGCAGCTTCCCAGGACTCCAGGGCCCTGCCCAAGTGCAAACAGAACGGGGGCCAGAGTCAGAACTCCCCTTGGGGACACAAGCTGTGGGATCCTCTCCCCACTGGACAAGCATAGGGACCTCCTTCCATAAAAATGTCAGATCCCCCACCCCGGGCTCCGCTCAGGTCTCCCCTGAGGTTCCCAGCTTCCCTCAGAACCAACCACACGGGTCTTTCCCCAACAAGCCGACATTGACAAGTGCCACAGCACAGAGGAACCTGGAGAACAGAGCCACTGAAGGAAGCCGGGCACGAAGGCCACACACTGTATGGTTCTATTCCCAGGAAATATTCCGACGAGACAAATCCACAGAGTCAGAGTGCAGACTGGTGGATATCGGGGCAGAGGAAGGGAAGGCGAAGGAAGGGATGCTAGCCCATTGGGAGTTTCCCTTTGGGGCGATGAAAAGGTTTCAGAACAAGATAGCGGTGATGATTGTCCAACACTGCAAATGTACTTAATGCTTCTGAATTGCCGACTTTAAAAAAGTTAATTTTGCATTACGTGAATGTGACCAAAATTAAAACAAAAAGAAACTGTAGCCCAGGCACAGACAAGGGACAGGGGCGCCACTCTGCCCAGTCCCCAGGGAGGCTGCCTTAGCACGCACACCCTCCTGGCAGGGCGGAGAGGGGCCTGGAGAAGAACTAGGGGGATGCAAGAGACACAGGCTTCCTGTGAGTCTACCTGTTCAACTCACAAGTTTGCTGAGCACCTATTATGTGCCAGGTCCCATTCAAGGTGCTGGAATTTGATGGAGAACCAGGCAAGGCAGTCCTGCCCTCCAGGCTTCCAGTTTGGAGCGGGGCTAGTCGGCCCCCGTGGCCTTCTCTCCTGCATAGCCCAATGGGCCTGAGGTCCAAACCTCAGCACTGTGGCTGGGAGCTGCCTGCCTCTTGGGTCTCCTCCATATTAGCTTCTGGGGGGCCCAACTGCCCAGTGAGGCTGCTGACTCCCTGTAGGCGTGAGCTTGACCTTCCATGTATTTCCGTGTCCCTGGGTCTGCACGCCCCGCCCAGCAGAGCTGCTGGATGATAGTGCGTTGTTGGGACCCAGCTCGGAGGACATCAGGGAGCCAACAGCCCTTCTGGGTGGGTGGCAGAGGTCTGACCCTCTGGAGCTCTGAGGGCTGAGGCTCTGTCCAATCTCAGCCAAGGCCCCAGGCCTCACAGGGGGCAGCCACAGAGCACGTGCTCAGCGATGGCGCCTTGACAGGAGGAAGAAGGCCTCCCTCTCCGTTCCAAGGCTTCTCAGGGAGAGGCTGGGCTTCACGCTCCCCACCACCTCCCCAACCTGGCACGGCACCTGGCACACAGTGCATGTTCCGGAAAAGCTCAGTGGGCCAAGGACTAAAGGCAGAAAGGTGGCTCAGGAGGGACCCGGAGCTTCTGAGAGCAGGGATGGGGGCAAGTTGATTCATCCCCCATTCCCAGGCGGAGCTAAGACCCTCCTTAGGCAATGCCACAGCGGCAAGGGCAGCCACCTGGCCATGAAGGGAGGGAGATCCCTGCACCAGACAGAGTCCAGGGGCTGAGCTGCCCTCCCTCCAGGCAGCTGCAGAGCTCAGTGGATGATCAGGAGCCCTGGAAATTTGCTTTCCAAAACCGCTCCCAGTAGGCTCTGAGCAGCTCCCCTGTGCGAAGTGCAATTTGCAGATGAGAACATCATGCAGAAGTCTCTCAACTGGAGCCAGGGCTGGGGAGGGAGGGATGAGGCTGGCTCAGAGCTTTAATGGGACCAAGTAGGAGGTTTGCTCTCTGGACCTGGAGCCTCAGCAGGGTCTGGGGGCCTCGGCAACGTGTACACACGTTTCTAGCTGCAGAGCCCACATCCATTAAAGCAGTGCCCTGCCTGGGCCTCTGTAATTACACCTGCTCCTCCCAGGCGAGCACCTTGCCCGACCTCCCTGGGGAATCAGCAGATTGTCCTGCAGCGTCTAGGATGGTCCTCCTGGGGCTGGACGGGAGGGCTCGGTTCTTAACGGTAAGACAAGACACCCTGCATTAGCTGCTCTCTCTGCCCCACGGCAGGGGCTCCCACTCTGGAGTCCTTGGGCTCCAGAAAGAGAGAATGCAGTATTTTAAAGGGTGTAATGACATGCAGGCTGCATGTGGTACAAATTTCCTGGATGTATAAAATGGGAAAGGAACAGGTTTTCTGTCGCCTGCAACTATCCGGCAGTGTTAAAATATGACTCGTTGGAATCCAATGTGCTGCTAAGCTGCACGGGGCGGTATTGAATCTTGCAGGCAGAGGCGGGGGGAGGTGCAGCCTGCAGCCCCGGGCACCTGCAGATAATTCAATCCCACCTGTCTCTACTTCTGCATCTGGTCTGCTTACAAGGTGTGGAAGCTGTGGGGTCCCTTCTATCCCCTCCCCTGCAGCAGAGGTGGGCAGAGGTGGCGGGGCCTGCTTTCCTTCTTGGCGTCTCATCTTGGAAATCCTTTGCCTGATGCCACACTTTGTGCATTCCGGAACTTTAAGGAAGTCTCCCCAGGTTGTCTCACTGGGCTGTTGTATGTCTGCGCCACTGTTCCCTAAGGAAGTGTCCTCCCTGGCTGGCTGATGGGCACCTATTCTCACTCATGTCCTTACAACAACCTTCTAGGAGGGCGGAATTAGCACAACCACTTTCAGGATGCAGAATCAGGCCTTGGAGAGGCTCGGGACTCGTACACATTCCACAGCGATTCAGACCCAGGGCTTGCTGGATGGTGGCCTCCGAGTTGATGCCTGTGGTCCCCGAGGGGACCGCATCCCTGCTGGGCTGGCTGGTGGGGCTTCACCCTAGGCCTCATCTTCCTAAGCAGGACAGTAGGCCCTAAGGGTAACACGATGGCAGTGCCAGAACTCAGCCTGGCCCCTCTGCTCCCTCCTACCTCCAAGCCACCGGGTCCTGTGTCGAAGTGTGGTAGCAAATGCCTTTCTCCCCTGGGGCTACGTTGAATGAGGGGTCAAGCCTATCCTCATCCCCATTTTCTTTTCTTTTTGAGACAGAGTCTTGCTCTGTCACCCAGGCTGGAGTGCAGTGGTACTACCTTGGCTCACTGCAACCTCCGCCTCCCAGGGTTCAAGCGATTCTCCTGCCTCAGCCTCCCAAATAGCTGGAGTTACAGATGTGCACCACCATGAGTGGCTAATGTTTGTATTTTTAGTACAGACAGGGTTTTACCATGTCGGCCAGGCTGGTCTCGAACTCCTGACCTCAAGCGATCCGCCCACCTCAGCCTCCCAAAGTGCTGCGATTACAGGCATTAGCCACCGTGACCGGCCCTCATTCCTATGTTCTAGGTGAGGTAACCGAGACCCTTGGGAAAGATGAGGTCAGAGGGCTCTGGCTCCTGGATCCCACGCACCGCCAGCATCCTTGCCCACGCCGTGGGAGCCGCTCAGCCTGGCCCGGTGGTCTTAGACTGCTTCTGACTTCTCTGATGAGAGTAAGAGACCTTGTGTCAGAAAAACGTGGCTCGGCCCCCACGCACACCGCATCCGGTGCAGCTTCGGTTAGGTTAGGAAGCCGCAGCCCCGTCCTGACGGTGTCTCCTTGCTTCATCAGCCTTGTGGTTTGTGTAGAATCCAGATAGAGCCCCCACTTCCAGGGTCAGCTTCTTTGCTGTTTTCCTTCAACATGTGCGAAGCGCCGGCCACCCTTCCTGCTCAGCAGTGGCCCCCGGCAGCTGCCCAGGCCTCCAGCCCATGGCACCCCCAGACCGTGTTGGTACCAGTGTTCACAACAGGTTATCATTTGTTTTGGGGAACAGTTTGCTTCTGTACCTCGGAGCCATTCCCACCAGTGTGTGCAGAACAGCTTGGCTCACTCCACTGGAGCAAGCAGGCGGTGCCGCAGGGCGCCCACAGAGGCGCCATGTCTGAACGTTTGTGGGTCCCCAGATTCATATGCTGACATCCTGACCCTGAGGAGATGGTAATGGGGACAGAGCCCTTGTGTATGGGATTAGTGTCCTTATAAAAAGAGGCTGGAGGGAGATCCTGCCTCTTCTACCGTGTGAGGATGCAGCAAGAATGTGCTGGCTATGAACCAGGAAGGGGGCCTCACCAGATACCACATCAGCTGGTACCTTGATCTTGAACTTCCAGGCTCCTGAACTATGGGAAAGAAATGTCTGTTTATTTATTTATTTATTTTAACTAGGATCACAAACGTTTTATTTAAAGGCCCATCTCAATTTACATGTGGTGGCACAAAATAAAGGACCAGATCGTGACACACCATTTCCATCTCAAGTGGTCGAATCCAACATCCAAAACCCGGCGAGCAGCCAAGCTCAGCGCAACCTCCGGGCCTCTTGCTCAGACTCCAACATGGTCAGCACGTCACCCTGGCACACGGGGCCTTTTACATTGCGGATGACAGAGCGGCTCATGTCGTCCATAAGTTCCACGTGCACCTGCGTGCACCGTCCCTGAGAATTGGCCCTGCCCAGGACCTTGGTGACCCTGGCCAACTTGACAGGCTGCACACGGCTGATATCCATGATGGCGGCTTGGTGGTAGGCTGGTGGAGACGAAATGTCTGTTTTTTATAAGCCACTTAGTTCATAGATTTTGTTACAGCAGCCGGACAGACTAGGACAGGCTCTGTCCCCCACCCCTACCCTCGCTCAAGGAGGGCTGGCACCTGCCCAGCTCCCAGCCTGGACACAGCACAGAGAGCCGCTGGTTTCACAGGGGCCTCAGCCGAGCACCCGCCTGGAGACCAGTTCTCCCCAGGCTGAGGGTCCTTTCTCCAGGACCAGGAGGCTAAAGCAGTTCCAGACCCATGGAAGCACCAGGTTTCATGCCTTCCTGTGGCCCGGGAGCCCGAGAGGGTGGCACCGGCAGCAGGTGTCATGTATCAGGATTCAGCAGGGGAGACCCCCCCCAACTCCATGCCCATGCCTGCTGCCAGTGCAGGGAGCCCATCGATCTTTGTGGCCTCCTCCTCACCCCAGAATTTGCCCAAGGAAAGAGAGGAGGAGGAGCAGGGACTGGGCTGGGGCACCAAGACTCCCTCTCTGCTCTGCAAACACAGGCGTTTGGAATGGGGCGGGGGAGACAGTGGCCGCAGAGGGGCACCTGCTGACCAGCTCGGAGGACTCAGTGACATGGGCAGTCTGCGTGGTGTGCACGGACAGCCTGCTTCAGAGCATGGGCTCTGAGGTTAGACCAACCTGGGTGCAGATCTGGGTTGACTGGCATGTGACAGTGGCAAACAGCTTAGCTTCTCCGCACCCCAGTGTCTGCACCGTAAAAAGTGGAGAAAAGCTTCTAGCCCGTTCAGCAGCGAGCCTGCCTAGGATGCCCATGGGAGTTCCTCACATTCAGCACTGGAAGGCAGGAGAGGACGGGGTCCCTGCCCTCAAAGGGCTGCTCCAAGTCCCTGCTGTTCCACTGAGTACTGAGCCCCAGGGAGGGTTAGGGCCTGCGGCATGTGCCTAGTGAGTGTCGGGCAGAGGTGAGCAGAGCCAGGCACCCCTTAGCCTGGCACCATCCCCTGAGGCCTCTCAGAAGCAGCCCACATGGGACCTGGAAGCTGGCACCGTGGCTGCTGAAATCCAGCACTCAGCAGCCCCCCTCACCCACCTGCACCCATTCAAAGCCCTTTAGGCCACAGACAGGTCCCACACCATCAACCTGACTTCACTTCGCTTCCCTCCCCTACTCTCCCTCCCGACAGTACCACACCATCCACATGCCAAATGTTTACCAAGTGCCCTCCTTGTACAGCAATGTCCTCGGCCAGGGGCAGTTTGGCTCCCTGGAGGAATAGGCGGTGTCTGGGCATTTTCGGTGGACCTGAGGGGATGGGGGTGCACTGGCATCCTCCAGTCTCCACCTTGACTCCTCCATCTGGCCCAAACACCAACAGCTCCGGGGTGAAGAGCCCCCCGCAGACCTCAGCACCATACCTGGGAGGTAAGAAAGCTGTGGGGGTGATGGGGCCGCCACAGGTCCTGCCCACTGAAAACTGTTAATACTCTACTTTGGGAGACCAGACGCCCTTACAGGGAATGTCCAGGCTGTGAATCCAGTTCCGCAGAACCCCAGGGGAGCACCCCTCCTTGCCACAGCCCTGGGGAAGGGAAGTCAAGGGTCTCCAGCCCAGCTGCTGCTCTGATAGATGGTCCCTTTCACAATGTCCCTTGCACGTGGCCGGTGTTGGGATAGCCTAAGCCAGAGGGCAGCCCCTTCCATGGGAAGGTCTTCCTTATAGCCCACAGAGGGGACCAGCCAACGTGGGTTCAGCTCCCAGCTGCACCAATACAAGCCACGTGAGCTCTGTCTGCCACGTCACCTTTCTGAGGCTCATTCACCCAGTCAGCAAGCCTATGGCCACCCGGGCCCTCCTTGTGGCTGGGCGTGTGTCCCTCTCCCGGTCCCTCAGCCTCCTCCTCGTCACCGGGATTCCCTGCACCTGCGGGACCAGAGCCTCAGAGTCTCACCCTTCCTGAGCCTCAGTCAGGCCAAGCAGCTTTTGTGATCAAATATTGTTATATTTACCTAAGGATCTGTTAGGAAGCAATTTTTGAGATGATGAATATTTAATGAAATATTTAAATATTTAATAGGAACTTTTCAAACCTGACTTAATAATCCATGTCATGGGGAGAGGAAAATGGGGGTCGTGTTTTAACATTTTCACTTCCTCTAGGACTCTTGGTGTTTGCTAGGCTTTTTTTTTTTTTTTTTCACAGCAGAGTTTTAATTATACTCAAAATTCCAGAGAGAAATTCTTTTCTCATTAAAACTTAACTCTTGCCAACAGCAAGGTGAGCGAGTGGGCAGAGGACGCACGGAGATGGAAAATGCGTGGAGCTCAGAGGAGCTGCTGGGACTGTCCACCCGCCGGCCCGATTCCCTCGCTCATCAGGTGAGGAGTGAGGCCTGGAGCGGCTGCAGCTGTATCAAAGGTGACGCCAGGCATCTGTGGCCACACCCAGATGGGACCCAGGTCTTGGGACTGGCAGGCTCCAGGAACTGCATTCATGACACCGTCCTGACCCCCGAACGTTCGCTCACGTCAAGGCTGACGTCGGGTGGCAGCTCCTAGCCTCAGCGGCTCCACCCGGCCCTCGGCTGCAGCAGCAAATTGAGATTTTCATCGCTTAGGAGGAGGAGGCAGCCTCAGACCGTCATGAAAGACTTGAAAAATTTAAACTGAGTTTCAGACTCTTCTACCACGAGGGCGGGTGTGCGTGAACGCCCAGCCACAGTCTTGTCCTGTCCAGCGTCCCCTCTTCTCTCTGGCTCCTCCAGCATCAGGTGGCCTCGGGCCCAGGTCTCACAGTCTCTCCACCCGGAAGGGGACACAGGCCAGCTCTGCCTCCCCCTCCAGTCACTTTGGGCAGTTCTGCTCTGGCTGAGCATTTATTCCCTGTGGGCCATCCTGGCACAGCCTCGCCGTACCTCCGGTGGGCAGTAGGGTGTCCCTTGGCCGACCAGCCCTTCAGACCCCGCGCAGACCACGGCTCCCACGGGCTTCTTCTTTCTCCCAAGCGCCAGCTCCACCCTTGTCTCTGTGGTGCAGTCTCTCCTCATAGCAGCGGCCTTACCATCCCTCTCTGCTCGGATCATTCCAGAAGGCTCTGGCTCTCTCTTTTCCACGCCTTTCCCTCACACTCCTGGGCCCTTTCTCTGGTCTCGTTCATCCGTACTTCCCTCTCTCCCCATCTGTCCAGGCCACACCAACCTACTGCACATTCCTAGTGAATTCAGGGCATCCTCAAAACCTCCTTAGATGTCGCCTCCCCTTGAGGCATCCCTCCCACCTCTCACCTGAGGCACGGAGGTAACCCCTCAACCCCCACCCCGTGCTAAGGGGGTATCTGGAACGTGCTTTTCTTACAGCACATTTTATTTCACACCGTGGGCTGTTTTTAGTCTATTTCCCCAGCTAGGTGGGTACATTCTATGGGAGCAAGATCCCGTCACACTCAGCTCTATATTCTCAGGGCCTGGCATGGTTCCTGGCATACTGTAGGTGTTCAATTGCTTGCTGAACAAGTCCTTGAAACTGTATGTCTTTGTGTCTGGTTTTCTTTGTTTTTGGAGGGTTGGGGGAACCCCCCATTTCTATGTCCAGTGAACTCGTATTCACCTTTTAGGGTGGCTGCTCAAAGACCTAATTCTAACCCCAATCCTACAACAGCTTCTCCTTTAATCCGGCTCTAATTCCTCCAGGCAGAAGTGGATGCTTCCTGCTCGGGACCCCCATGACCGTCTGCTCACCCACCACCATCAGCAGGGCCAAGACCTTCCTGTGGCTCAAGGCTTCACTTCCTGCTTCCTTGCTCCCTCGGCTGGGCCTTCCTCAGCTTCTCTGCCTCCAGCACAGCCTGGTGCCCAGGGAGGAGGGACGCAGCAAACAGAACTCTGGGCTGGGCAAAGTGCACTGTGGCCACGTGCTGCTGCCCAAGCTGCCTCCTCCCCGTATTCCCTAAGACCCTCACAGGCTGGTGCCAGCCCATCACACGGCAGAAGCTGCTGTGGCTGGAGAGACAGATGCTTGGGCAGCCCACAGTGCTGGGTACAGAGAGGGTCCTCAAAAGCCACTTGAGATGATCTTGAGCCCTGGGGCAAAGGTGGTCTGTTTCTGGGGTGCCTGGATACAGCCCTGAGGCCACACTCCGGAGGGAGGGCATGATAGATGAAGATCTGACATGTTTAAGATGGTAACTCTTTTAATAAGGGGTCTTTAAATATTTAACAAAACAGAAGAGGCCAATTCAGCCAGGAGTGATAGTTTTAATCTCACTGAGCACCAGTGGGTTTCCTCTGAGTGAGGGAATCTGAATTCTCCCTGCTCCCAGCCCCAGCTCCCACCCGCTGCAAACTCCGGCAGCTTCCTCTGGGGGCCCAGAGCAGGGGCTCGATGGCTCACTGATGATCGCAATATATGAGCCCAGCAAGACTGGGATGGCATTTCCTGGTCCTGCGTCCAGGGAGGCCTGGGTGAGAGGCTGTCTCTCTTCCCTCTGGCCTGTTCAGCTGGGACTCCCTGTAGAGGGTATTTTGGGACCCTGGACAGCATGTCAGGAGGAAAATAAATCAAAAAAAGGGTGCAGAGACCTGAGGGACCCTGTCTGAGCCCCAATTCTCCCTTCTTACCAAACCTTCGCACTTCACATCTACGAAACCCACCTCTGGCATTGGCTCACCCAGAAAGCTCCCACCCTCTGCTCCGGGCTTCCCTCTACCCCAACAGTACACTACAGGGCACTGTAATCATCTCTGCCTGTGAGCCTCCTGTGTGCCACTCAATACGACTGGAAGGTGAGACCGGGTCCCCTGTGCCCTAGCAGAACCATATGCCAAGCAGAAGGTCAATCAGTGGTAGGTATTCTGCTGAGGTGATCTAGGCGCCAGTCTCCAGAAAATGCTGATTCCGATGCCCAGGGTGGGGTAACTTTCCTTTTTTTTTTGGAGATGGAATCTTGTTCTGTTGCCCAGGCTAGAGTGCAGCGGCATGATCTCGGCTCACAGCAAACTCCGCCTC